GTTACTAACAGGGGGGTCTATCAGGACATTTTCAAAATGGTTTTCTGAATGTTGTAGAGGCTCATGTGAGGAACACAGAACCATGGTCCATTTTTCCTGAACGCCCCAGGAATGTCAAAACAGCGGGGAAGAAATGGTCCAAAGTTCGATCCTCCGTGATGACAAATTTTTGCAATTTATGTTGGCGCCTCCAAATTGCCGCAAAACACGACAATGACATCTATTCTCGACGATGGCGCCATTTGGCGGCAATCTGGGGGCGCCAAACTATATTGCAAAAATTAGTCATCACCGGGGATCGAACTCTGGACCATTTCTTCACCACTGTTTTGACATTCCTGGAGGCGTTCAGGAAAAATGGATCATGGTTCTGTGTTCCTCGCATGAGCCCCTACAACATGCAGAAAACCATTTGAAGAAAAGAAGAAAAAGCGCTCCATGTCCTTAAAGGCCTCCCCTGCAAGGAATTAGAGGACAGGCAGACATAGCAAGATTCGATGATGTAAGAAAGATGTACACTACGGCGCTCCCCATATACGGAGGCACAGTGGTTCAATGCACAAGACCGCGTAGACATCTCCGTTGTTGAAATCGGGACTAAGCCTTAGGCGAAGGAGGAGAGTCTTCAGGCGTAAACAATTTTCATTTGCCCAAAGGTTCCTGCTCTCCCGAACTTAACCTTGAAGATGCCCCCCCCCTCACCTTGAGATAGCGCCTGCACTACTAGAGATTGGTCACACCACGTCACCACGATTCACTAATGGAACTGTACGCAACGCAGTCCTAAACATAGAGTAGGAAACCTCATGGGAGCCTCGAATTACCGAATCTCAAGGAGCCCCAACACAGAACACAACCAAATGCGACACTAAACAACAAGGGACTCTTGAAGGAGACAAGAAAAAGGACTGTGTAGTCAACTTTTACAGCCCAAGTTTTCTTAAGTGCTGTTGACTCAGTTCATTGATTCCTTAAAAACATTCTTTCACATCTCGAACTTCCTCCTAGAACCGGTTGTATGGAAACGAGTCGTGAGAAGATTTCGTAAAAAGTAATGGCATGAATTCAAGCTCTAAAAGTGGAGGCTGGTATGCCCTGAATTCCACGTATGACACATTTTCTGTCCATTGGTTGGAAGTAGTGTTGTGAACAGTGCACCGCTTGTCGCAAACCATGCACACGGTCCGGGGATCAAATCTCTGCTGTACGACGCCAAAGCTAATCGAGCCCTCATCCCTCCATAGTCGGTAAATTACTGTCTGGCAAGATAAAATAAGTTAGAACATTGGCCGGTCCGAGAGCCATCATGTAAGCAAAATCGCCATCGAAATAACCACTGCAATTTTATAGAAATGGAATGCGTGGCACATCCCAGAAAGGGATCCATCAACGAGACTCCGAGAATCCTCGAAAAACCATTTGTACGCTGATCATGTTGAGAGAAGCAATGTACCTTATCATTTTTCGATCCCTCTTTTTACACACCAACAAAGAAGCCGACTAAGGTAGGAGGCGCAAAGTTTACAATAGAGAGGAGTTCCTCAGAATTAAGGTAGAAGTGATCAGTGGCGGCGAGATGAAGAACGCAATACGCGAAAACAACGAGAAATGAGACCCTTCTTCCTAGCTCGTTGATTCGGCCTTTGATTGACTAATTCTCACGTTGCTGCCTTCATTCAACGTGATGCTCTCTGCTAACTAGAGGACCTGCGGCCAAGTTAAAATAAGCCAAGTTCCCCCCTCCCCGAGCGGCGGTGCCGCGCGGATTGCGTCGTGGGACGCCACACTGATCAGGATTCAGTGTGATGCCCTATCGCATTCAGGACTACAGGAAAGAAGTAGCCGTGAAATATTTCATCTTCACTCGTTAGTTCAAACGCCTGTCTCATTCGCTATACGGCATTTAGCAAACGGTGATAGCAAGGCTTTATTGACCTTCTGCAGCGGAACTCCTCTAGAAAAAGTCTACAAATGCACTGCTAACAACAAGTGATGACCCTCTTTTATATTGACCCGCTCAGAGGCACACCCTGGCATTATCCTATCGATTGACTTGGTCAGAGCTGAGAAACTGCTTTTCATGGGCTTAAAAGATAAAATCATTGGGATAATGAAGCCTCGGAGTTGGATTAATACATGCGATTAGGATCAGTTGATAATGTGAGCTAGGCGATCGAGCGTTTCACATATGGCAAAGCAGCAAATAGTCGATACGTATCCCTCCTTATCGCATACTGGCGATCTCATCTTACGATAGCACATGAACTCTCCGTAAGAAATTTAGAGTCAGTTAAAGGAAAAAAGTTCAAAGCAAAACTAATCACCTGAATTGTTTGGTCGGCACTTAGAGATATCAATGACGCTCGAGCAACCACAGCACCTGGTCCTGGAACGTTGCGAGGAGGACCGGAAGCAGGTTGTTGCACAAGAGATTTAATATCTGATGCAGTTCGATCAAGGAATTCTACTGCGGTCACAAAAATACCATGAGTTTCCTGTTAAAAATCATTTACAGAAGGATAAGAGAGAAACTGTCTCATAAGTAGAGTAGTACTGATCAAATAATTATTTAGTTAGTTCATTTAAGATAACCTATGCTATACGAAGTTATTACGTTGTGGCTAAAAGTCCAGGTAACACACCTTGAACGCGATCAATTCCTTCATTTCATGTGTGTCGAATATATATACACTACCTCCCATGCTTCCCACTCCAGTGAAGTTTCCGCAAGAACTTACACAGAGAGACGATACCCTAAATTTTTAACATATTGAAAATGCAGCGAGAAAATCACTATTGAAATCCTAGGGCTCTCCTTAGTGAAGACATGTTAAAAGAGTGAGAGACAAGTCTATCGTAATCACATGGGTCGCCCTGATTTGACATGTGCGGGAATTTATCATCAAATACGGAATTTTTAAGGAAACGATTTGATGTCGTATCAGTAGGTTTCTTTCCAAGGGTTAGTGATTAGTCAGTCTATGAAATGCAGTGTTCGGCACGTTTCAGTCATATAACTTTTACGGCAGTCTCCATAGAAAAGGGAACGTCGCAGGTGTTTTGAAGGGGATTTTAACATGATGTATGGGAGTTACCGGCACATTACGACGATAAATGTTTACATGAACAATAGGGAAAGTACTCACATCCCCTCGGCCTGTGCTTCGCACAACAACTGTTCGAAGTGCTTGTTTTTCTCGACTGTAAGCCCACAAGGCTAAGAATGATTTTCGCTTCGAAGTTAGGGACGAGAGCCAGTATCCGATCAAACATTCGCGAGAAAACCACGGGTGGACGCGGGGCGCATCTCTCCCATCCTACACCGTCCCCACCCCTCTCTCACATACCCCCGAGCGCCCCCTCCCCACCCGCCCTCCCCTCGCGCCCCACCTCTCCTACTCCACCCCTCCACCGATCCCTCCTCGCCATCACCCCACCACACACTTCCAACATCCCCTTCGCCCCCCGCCACTCCTCTCCCTCCACCAACCAGCCCTCTCAACTGACCCCCCTGCCCACCCCCTCCCCCCACCCTCATCTTCAGACCCCCATCCCCATATCCGCACCCATCATGCCGTGACACCCGCCCGCCCCCACACGCACGCCCCTACACACTCAATAATCAGCTGCAGAAATCGTCCCTGTTATGCGCGACAAACACCCAAGATACTACCAATTTCCTAGCGGAGTACATCTAACGATACTACCTTAAATTCGGCTTATACATGACTGTGAACCGAAGCTAATTGAACATATAATAAAAAAGAATCCGAAAAACCGAGAAACATTGGAATACCAGCGTAACGCTTATCGCCACACAAACAGACAAATCAACGAAAAAACAGTAATTCTTTAACGGCTAAGATGAAATTTAACAAAATCAAGCACCTTGTAGCCTGTTGCACCATCACTGCTCGAATAAGTGTTCCAAGACCCATATCCCACATTTTAGCGATACCATCATGCCCGACGGAACTGAAGAGAACGAACTCACTTTCGTGATAACAAAACAGGAAGCAGCTACGATTGCAGAAGGCTCAATTCAAAAGGACATACATGATAATTCGTCCATCGGATGCTATGTCAATGTCGAAGACATCAGATTTGTGGGCTTCAATATCAACAAGCGGCTTATGTATGACCTCTGGATTCTAAAATGACAAAATGAAAGTTACCGATACAAAAAAGCTAAAAAAATGGCATACTCAATGCTAAGCGACTTCGAGTAAATGTATGGGTAGGAGAAATGAAAGATTTGGAAAAAAAATCAACCAACTCGATCTTCAACCAGCGCTTGCGTATTCCATACACGGATTCGCCCATCTTCACCTCCAGTGACAACGCGTCTACCGGCTGTTGAGCGATCAAATCGCACGCATTTCTGATAAAATATAACATCATTGGATCTAAATTGGATGATGAAGTGGACGACCTCTAATAACGCCTGTCACGGCCCACATTTCGTTTTAACAAATTTCACATGCACTAAAGATTCACGCTTAGATATGAAAACGGAAAATGTCGGTAAAGGAAATTATTACTGGAAAAATAAATGGCTACCCCTTCATGTCATACTCAACAAACAAAACAACTTCGGTTTAACAAGAAAGATGCAGAACTTTCCCACTCTTAACCAACCAATAAAGTGCATCAAAAAGAGGGGAACAAAGGGAACAAAAAAGAAATGACATAAAACATGTCACTCGAAACATTACTGCAAAAAAAAACAAGAATTCTTAACCACTTCACAAACTATGAAAATACAAAAAGTTTTACATGGCTAGTAAAGCCTACCTGAAAAGATTCCACCTGTTCTGATGTAGTCAGTCTTCCAACCATCTTAATATTAAACTTCAAGACTGCTTCATCGGCATCATCTTTTCCGACACCATAACCCGTTGTTTCATATACATCGCAATACTGAAAACTACTTGTGTGTTCGAGTTCACTTAATACCCCATGGAAAATGGCCGATGTCAGACTTTGCGATTGGAGCGATTTTGCACCAATTGCAGGAGCGACGGATCGCTTGAGCGATGCGAGCGACGGGAGATTTACCCCGCCGAATACCGATACACACGGCGCCGCTCGGGTAAATCTCCCGTCGCTCGCACGATCCGTCGCTCCTGCAATTGGTGCAAAATCGCTCCAATCGCAAAGTCTGACATCGGCCAGTGGCGCAAGCGCTCCATCATAATCTATAGTATCTCGCAATTATGGTTGCAGAACGATGTGGGTACGACTGTCACCCGCCGGTAGGTGACAAAAAGGCGTTATTCATTACACAACTATCACAAAAAAACATATGAATGGAATAAAGTAAAAAATGAAAAGGAATTAAAACAATCAATTCTGAGAAAAAGTCACCCACCTGACCGTGACCCGCTGCTATGAGATACCTTCCCTTTTCAGGATTCGAACAACAAACAACATCCATATTCATCGTTGCATATATGTCTGTATCTATCTTTAAAAAGGAATATAACTACAGGGAACTTTGTGAAGAACGAAAATCAGTACCGTGTCAACAAGTATGGCTTTCATTGGAGTAGAACATTTGGGAAGCTTTCTGTTTTCAAACGTCAAGAGATACGTCTGAAAAGATAATACCACCTCTAAAGTATTAATTTAAAAGTAGACACTTTCCTGATTAGAAATAAGATACATCAAGAAAATGCAATGCATCAAGCCTAATCTGCAATTATTCAGCTTCAGAAATTAGACTTCAGCCCCCCCCCTCACCGCTACCGCTGTTCCATGAAACGTACATAGCGAAAACGGTCGCTTCTGCTAGAGAAGGAGTGAGAATCGTGAACCTTCCAACCTCATTATTCTCATAAGGGAAGCGACAAATAAAAGAAAAGGATAATGCAGGTCTTGAAATACTAAGAGAAAAGTAACCCTAAGACGGAGTCCAGAGAACAATACACAAGCAATTTTTTGAAAGAACTCTACCTGTATTAGGTTCAAGACACCAGTTTTTGATTCACCACCTCCTCCTGCAACCAGTACATGTCGAGGACCAAGTTTTTTCAAACAGAACAGTGGTATTTTCGATGTGACAACCACCGGAGGTTCAGCTTTTGATGAGCCTGAACCCATCCCTGAAAGAAATACATGAGATCGGTGCATCTATACGTTCTTAAATGCAAACAATGTCGAAAGATGTCACTTTCAGCCACGAAGGTTATCGAATTCATAGAAGCGAACTTACTCAGGAAGGTGGACAAGACACTCAAAACCACTGATAATAAGACCTCAAGCGTCGTTGTAATTCCAGTGTTTTTCTTCTGCCAACAAGTTTTAAATCTTGTGAAGGTAGACTGGGCCTTTGAAGAAGATGGTCTGGTTGAAAACTAAAGCCTTGATAATGTATGCTATACGAAGTTATTACGCTGGTGTCAGAGTCCGCGATTCGATTTTCGCGATTTGCGCGATTTTTGCGAAACCTGCGATGGGTCACAGGAGTTGGAGGTGCCCCGATGAATACTGCGAGGTGCTGTTTAATCCTGGAAATTGAAGGAAGACTGCCCGTGATTCTACTCGTTTAATGTTATGTCTATTATTCATTGAAATGCTCATTCGTTCAGGGACGGAACTGCATCTATTCTGAACTGACCATGAGAAGGAGGGGGATTGATCGGGTTACTCTCAATTCCTGTGGATCCGCGTCGCAGGCTTCGCGCGGATCACAAAAATTGCAAGTGGCCCATTTGAACAATTGAAACACTGAATATGAAGCAAGTGGAAGAGAACACCTTGCAGTATTGAATGAGGCACTTGAGATTTCCGTGACCGTCGCGCAAATCGCGAAAATCGCGAAAATCGCGCAAATCGCGCAAATCGCGGACTCTGACACCAGCCTAAGAGAAGCAATTAATTTAAATGGCTAGGTTTTTCAAGGTTTTGAACGAGATTGAAATGTGTCAATGCGCTCATGTCGTTGGAGGGGACATTGAAGAGTAAGTCACTTAGCGAACTTGGGATTGAGCCTTGGGGATGGGAAGGGATTCTGGAAAAGGACGTGAGCAACCTTTCTCCGTGGCGGTTCTCCCCTCCCCTGGATTTAGTCTTAGCGTAACCTATCAGCGGTTTTGATATGCCGTGTTGGGTGTGGTTCACTAGGACAGAAAGCGACTTTTTCGCGTTTCGCAGCGCGAAACATTTTTCGCTGCGGGAACCTCAGGTCCACTGATGATCAGCGGTGGACCTGAGGTTCCCGCAGCGAAAAATGTTTCGCGCTGCGAAACGCGAAAAAGTCGCTTTCTGTCCTAGTGAACCACACCAGCCCTGTTGAATGACCCCGTAAGGAGATCAGCGCCTCAAGATCAGTTGAAAATGGCTGCAATCACCTCGTACTCAGTGTTTCGGCATTATTTGGAGCATTGGATCTACACTGAGTGACTCTTTGAGAAATAGTTCATATTGAGGGAGGTGTCAGTTTCAAATGCCAGCGTCGCTCGTATGGTGAGCAAGTTCTTTGGGGCCCAGACCATCTTTGACAACAGGGACATGGGGAAATAACCTTTGTCTTTTGAAACGGCATCACTCCCACTACAATTCATCGCGCCTACGTTCTTCGGATCTGCAAATGGATAAACGAAAAAAGTTCAGTGAACGCTAGAATTTGGAACACAGAAGAACATTCACGCGCTTAGAATAAAGTGCGGCAAGAGTAAAGGCAAAAATCATTCAATTAAAGGCGTAGAGAGTGAAGTAAGACTAGTTTATGTGACAACTAACGAGTGCCAACGTGGAACCACATGAAAACCTTCATAACACCTAAGGATGTTCAGAAAACCAAATACGTTCAAAAATATGAATACGAACAAAGATGTAATTGCCAACAATTGCATTTTAACAGCGGAGATCACTGAGAAACTGTCAAGAAACGCCATGAATACAGGAAGACTGTTGCTTTACTGTAATGTTTTAGGCGTCGAATTAAATGCAAACGACAACACTGTGACGTTCTGTTTGCGCCGCATAGGAGAATCCGGAGAACAGCAGCAGGACAAAATTAGGACAAGCAGAGCAATCAATGACAAAATCCCATTCACAAGAATGACCAGCGAATTTGGCCGTGAAAAATGAGCGTGCGTCTTCGGTAGTTCACCGCAACGCGTTTGGGTGACACCATGTCAACCCATACTCCAGTCGAGCTGCCCAGTTGTGCCGCTGCTGGCAACGCAGCTCGTCCAAATCACCAACTAAACTAGTGGGCGGATCGCTTTTGGGGCGGAGTGCTTTCGAAGTCCTGCTCAGCAACCAGCGCACCTTTCGTCGTGAAAGCGCCACACTCGCTTCCTTGGCAGCCAAGTAACTGCTTCGTGTGGCGCATTCACTCCCGATGCGCTCCCTCTTTATCGTAATCGCTTACCTTTAAGAAACGGTTCTTTGAGGGGCACCCTTTGCTTGATGCCTGTGCGGTAATGCCTCTATAGGTTAGGTTGTCCTGAAATTTCTCGTGAAAAAATTCAAAATTTCGTTGGGCACATGTGTCGATCATTTTCATGTCGCACGCTATTATTTATTTGTGTGGATGGGTTTTCCTGTAAACTGCATGATTACTGAGGTAAAAATGTCTGTCTGTAAGATGGCAAAAGCTTATCAAAGGCCGATGTCATACTTTGCGAATCGCGCGATTCGCTAGCGTCCGCGGTCACTCGTTGCGGTACCAGCAATTGAGTGATCCACTGGGCGCGGTGACGACGAGACGCTGCGAATCGCGGCGATCGTAAAGGTTGCATCGGGCCAAATGCTCTACACTCGCGCGCAGGAAGGAGCTGATCGAGGGAAATCGTGGATATCATGGTTCTTACTACATAGAGTTTATGGCCAAGCCTCGAAGAGGGAGAAAGCAAGAGTTCATATCGACAGAATGTAATAGTGGTTTGTTCTCGAGCTATCTGCAATTACGGCGTTGCACTACATCGAAGAATAGCAAAGGAGCTGAGCTTATTATTTGTTGAGCAGTAGCATCCGCCTCTTTTGAGGCTCATGGTTCTTTGATTTTTTGCTGATTATTTCCAAAGGTTATGATGGGGTCAATCTCTTGTGCATTTTGATGTCCAACACTTTGTGTTTGCTTCACTGTGGAGCTTACTCGCTAGGGGTCGCCGGTGTGCCTTTGGTTAGCATTGCTGTCGTATCATTGTATATGGAGGGTGCCATGTTCATTGGATACTGAGGGAACAGAGTTCCAAAGCTGAAAGAGTGCACTATCAACAGAACTCCTCTGATTCATCGTTTTTTCTGACGAGTAAGTGTACAGGGTGACCGAAGTATGGGACGCGGCTTTGACCGCTTGCTGGCACTGAGCCGTGAAGTATTTTCGAGTGTTTCGAAACTTTTCGAAAGCTTTGAAACTATGTGAGAAGCACCATAAGTTTTGGTCCAAAGTTCATCTGAACTTTCGCCATGAAGATTTTTTGCTAGGAATGCCAATGACGGACTCTGGAAGAATGGCAATTTAGAAAGAACTCGTATCCTCTTTGAAGTGTCGTTGAAACATGTTCGTGTCTCAAGTGGTTGAGACACGTTCTGGGGATTGTGAAAGTGGAAGTTCAGGAACTGTGGGCACGCCCTCAGGATTGGGCATCACCTAGAGAGGATGGCTTAAGCGGGATTTTCGATTAGAATGGAGGTCGAGAAAGAAGTAATTTACCTAGTTGAGTAACCCACGGACCTCCTGAGGGTGCGAACTGATGCGCAATTCGCATCGAAAAATTTGACCTCGGCGACCTATTATGCCTCAAAGTTGGCGGGTCTGGCGATCTCCGCCCACCGACCAGCTGATCACTCGCCGCAGATCTATACGTGGGATTGATTAGATAGCAGAGAGAGCGTGATGTTGAGGAGGGCACAGCGATAAGAGTCGCATCAATGCGCAAATCAGCGGGGAAGGAAGGGGTCCCATTTCTCGGGTTCTGGGCCGTTTCTCATGGTTCTTCCTTCTTTCGTGTACCAATCACCATCCCTGAGTTAATTTGAAATGGGTTGCCTTCCCAGCGTGAATTCGTCCTTTAAGCGATGAAGCAGCGGGAGTTCACATCGACTTTTGATTCAGATCCGCCGTCGCTCCTGGGAAGCAGTCTTATTTGGAGAGGTTACCGACTCTTTCTGTGCTGATTTTTATTGGAGCACGCCGAATATATTCAACTGATAAAATGCAAAATGTTTCTGCACGAGCTCACGGTGCGCCGCATCTCCTTACGGATTGGGTTGATGAGGAAATTT